CCTGCTCCTGATCAGGAGCATCTTTCCCAGCGACCTGGTTCTGAGATGGCACCCACTCAAGCATTTGAGATTTCTTCTGGTGACACAGCTTACAGCTTGTAGGAGCAAGCGATGTTGATGCGATTAGATATCGTTCAGCCTAGTGCTGCGAAAGTCTTCGGGCTTGTGACGGTTGTGGGTTCCTTCAGACTTGGCTGTCGCCTCCGTTATCCATTCGGCAGCTGCTTCAAAAGAAAGTTCTGGCATCGTGCGATTGCAGGGTGTGTGTGTGTGTGTGTGTCTCTGTGTGTGTGTGTGTGCGCCGTAACATACACAGTCCCGTGTCGTGGGATTCGAGTGCTGGGATGTCCAATGTGGACCAGTGGAGCTATGTCTTTGCTGCATGAGGCGCAGACCTCAGAACTTACTCTCATGTGCAGTGTCTCGGCATCAGGCGGTGGGTAGCTTCTGGACTAGTTTCTCAGCTCTTCGTGTATTGTCCTGTCCATGGGCAAGACGGCAAAGAAGGCCAAGGCAAGTGAATCCGCCAAGAAATCCAAAAAGGATTCCAAGAAAGCAGTGAAAGACACGAAAATCAAGAAGGATAAGGCGGATAAGAAAAAGAAGAAGAAGGATGCCAGCAGCTCTTCATCGTCGGACGGTTCCTCGTCTTCTAGCGAGCAGCAGGATCAAGCGAAGATGGAGCTCCAGTCCACAGCCTTGACTTTTGGTGTGTGGCTTAACTTAACTGAATCCTGAGTTCATTTTCTGTTGAAGTTTCAATGTGTGCAATGATTGTATTTCTTGGCTCCTCGCTCTTGTCTCTGTTGGGGGGCGGTCTTTCATTCACTCATTCGCTCGCTGACTGACTCAATTAGAATGGGTTTTCACTTGCTTGTCCCTTCTGTCTGTGTGTTCGCCCAGGAAGCCGAAAAGCCTGGCACTGAAGACGCATGTTCATGTGCATGCCAAAGATTTGCCGGCAGCCTTGATGGCGACGGCTTTGGTTGGGGCGGCTCCAGGTCTGACCCCAGTGGGGTTGATGCGAATTGGGGGCGAGGTCTTGGAGGCAAGCCGTGTTGCTGGTGGACAGCTTCCTCCTGCCATTTGTATTCTTGTTTTTTCCTAGGCCTTTCAACGATCTTGTCTTTCTTCTCCAGCACACACTTCTCTGTCTCTCTCTCTCTCTCTGTGTCTCTCCCTCCCTCCCTCCCTCCCTCCCTCCCTTTCTCTTTCTCTTTCTCTTTCTCTTTCTCTTTCTCTTGCTCTTGCTCTTTCTCTTTCTCTTTCTCTTTCTCTTTCTCTTTCTCTTTCTTTTCTCTTTCTCTTTCTCTTTCTCTTTCTCTCTCTCTCTCTCTCTCTGTCTCTCTCTCTCTCTCTCTCTCTCTCTCTCTCTCTCTCTCTCTCTCTCTTTCTTTGTCTCTCTCTCTCTCTCTATCTCTTTCTATCTCTCTCTCTCTCTCTCTCTCTGTCTCTCTCTCTCTCTCTCTCTCTCTGTGTCCTCTGTGTATCCGCCTGTCACAGCTGCGATTGGGCAGGTTCGGAAAACTCACCTTGCCCAGCTCAGAGCGCAAACTGGCAGTGTCAGTGCTAACGAGTCTGCTGCGATGGAGTTGAAGCTGAATGCTACCCGGAAGCAATCGGCCGCTGAAAAGATGTGGCGAGACCGACTGCTCGAGCTGGCCAAGATTGGCCACTTGTTTGCATCCACCCAGAGTCATAGTCGAGACACTTGTCCTCGCAGAGTTGCCATTGGCATTTTTGCATCACACACCCAGTTGCTGATATCGACCCGGTGACCGTCATCCGGCAACACGCCCACCTCGTCTCCCTGAGCCAGTGAGCTGCCCAGGTTGAATCGAAACACCATGTGCCTGTGCCCGTGTCGAATCCGTCTGTTTGCCTGGACTTTGTTTTGACTTCTCATTTAATAAAACTTAGGTTGATGAAGCAGGAGATGCAAGGTTGCACGCCAGAAGAGAACACGAGACGAACAGAAGCAGTCAGACAGCACATGGCTGAGTGGGCAGCGGAGTCTGCTGCCGAGATGAAGGAGATGAATGAGCAGACATCGCCTTTGCTTGTCCGGCGATCTTCAAAGCCGGAGTTCGTGGGTTCAGCAAGCGAGCCCGAAGACGAGGATCCTGGCACTGACTCAGCCCACAAGCTCAAGCCCAAAGCTTCGGGACTTCGCCGTGCCGAATCCTCTCGGTCTGATCTCGGGCGAAGCGACCGCAAAGATCACCCGGATGAAGATCTCTTTGGGCCTCGTTTTCATGCTTCCCGCCTCCAGCCTCAGCCGGGTAGGAAGCGTCCCCCGCCCGAGCAGGCTTGTTGCAGGGCACGTGGGGTGTGCAAGGATTATGTGTGAGTCAGAATCATAGTTGATTGCGATTTCTTTATGCCGTGCAAGAAACGGCCAGGAGCCGGGGGGAGATGTGAAGCATGGCAAGCTTCCGGAGTCAGAGGCACCTTCTGTCCCGACGAAGCTTGCTTGGTTGGGCTCAGTGCAAGAGGTGATTGATAAGTTCTTTCCCTCAGAGTCGGATCAGATGACTTTGTCGGCCATCTTGCGAGCAGATGGCCTTGATGCCACTACGCAGAAGTGGTCGTGTTGAGTCAGTTGTCGATGTGGGGTTTCTTGCAGATGGGTCTCGGGTTAGGCTCCTGATCATTATTGCACTATATCATTTTCAAGCGCGGGTGGGTTGGGGTGGGATAGGGTTCGGGCTGGGTTGCAGAAGCTTCTGCCCCATTGAAAGCACAAAGGAATCGATTGCACCTGTGATGCTCATCATGATTGCGATTTCGGGTGGTGTAGGATGGCGGGGTGAGCACTGCAATTGCAAAAGGGGGTGTGTGAAACTTTAAGCCCTTGACCCGAAGCTAAATCCCAGATCCCCAAAGTAAGTAACTGCTGCCTGACCGAAAACCCTAGCAAAACAACCCTCAACTCCTAAATTACCCTGCCGGTTTTGACTGGGGCCCCACCCAGAACCCAAGGCATCTTTCCAGGAGTTCGTGGCCAATGGTTTCGAGGACGAAGAGGATCACTACCGTTCCGAGCACTTCGGAGAAGAGGCTCGTGCTCTTTACAAGAAGATGAGCTTCAAGGGCCGCAAGCAGTTCGATGCCTTCTGCAAGCACATTTCCGATCATAAGGACCACGGGGTTCATCGTGGCCTAGTCCGAAACTAGTAAACTGTCTGCGATCACTACCCCTTGAAGCTGCACGGCTTGCCGAGCCTTCTCGAGTCTTATTGCCTGAGATCGCTTCTAGAGTCTTCTCGCGGATTCTCGCGGTGTTTTAACATGCGATTGTAGGTTCAGTGTCCCTGGGATCCCATTTTCTTCCTCGCAGATGGACAGGACACGATGTTGGAGTTCTACAACCCCGATTCTGCGACTCCCAGAAAAGATTTGTCAGGCACGCCACATGTCTTCCTGTAAAAACACTCTGGACCGACGCCTTCACATTTGCATGGGCCGCAGGTCTCTTGGAGTCAGCGAAGAGTCCGAAACCTGAGACAGGCCGGGTCTTTGCAAGTCCTGTGCGGTTTAGGGTTTAGGTTTTAGGGTTTAGGGTTTTGCTTGAAAGCCAACTGCAGGCCTGGATGGTGCGGGTGAGAAGGCGGCCGACTAGGTTGCCTGGCATTATTTTGTATTTGGGGGATGCTGAAAGTCGTCGGTGTTGCAGCAGGTGCTGTTGCCGATCAGAATGGAGCTGATTGTGTGCGAGGGTCCGTAGCCGAGCTCTGAGACGTTTTGCCAGCCTCTCCAGTCCCTCCACTCATTCTTGCGAAATGAGAGTAGCAGTGTCTTGCAGCACCAGGGTCATGTGGCCCTTAACCTGGGATTCGGGGCTGGAGCAGGCCGGGTCCAGTCTCCCTTTAAGTTCCGCGAACGTGTTTCTACGCGATTCGTGCTGTGGCTGTGGCCAGCGAAGGCTGGCCTGTCGAAAGCATCCGGCATGCACTCTGTAACAAAAAGCTTGTGAAGCAATTTGCTGTTAAGAAACGCGACCTGTTTCGGACTAGCCAGAGTGTAGCACTGTGCTTACTGTCTTCGGCCTCCCCCATTCTTCTTAGCGAACGTGTTTCTACGCGGAGGCGTGTTTCTATGCAAGAGGTTTTTGGGTAACGAAACCGGTGCAGTCCATGAGATTGTCTTGCATCCCTTGCTATCTCGGTAACATCTGGGCCACTGTGCAGCACCTACACGGCGAAACAAGTCACCGTTCTCGAACCGAAAAGGGGGTTTGCAAACCCCCGTTCTCGAGCCCAAAAGGGGGGTTTGCAAACCCCCGTTCTCGAGCCGAGAACGGGGGTTTGCATTTTTCCCTTTCTCGAGCCGAAAAGGGAAAAACGCAAACCCCCGTTGGTGTTTGCAAACCCCCGTTCTCGAGCCGAAAAGGGGGGTTTGCATTTTTCCCTTTCTCGAGCCGAAAAGGGAAAAACGCAAACCCCCGTTGGTGTTTGCAAACCCCCGTTCTCGAGCCGAAAAGGGGGGTTTGCATTTTTCCCTTTCTCGAGCCGAAAAGGGAAAAACGCAAACCCCCGTTGGTGTTTGCAAACCCCCGTTCTCGAGCCGAAAAGGGGGGTTTGCATTTTTCCCTTTCTCGAGCCGAAAAGGGAAATATGCAAACCCCCGTTCTCGAGAGGGGTTTTGGGTTTGAAGTGCAGAGGTTTCTCAACCGTGATTGGGTAGGGCTTTACCTCAGCGACCAAGTGTCGAGTCCGAGTGCATGGTCGTGCAGAATGCGACACTTTGCCGAGACACGCAAAGCTGAGCTTGTGGCATGTTTGTGGGTGTGTATATGTGCTCGAGATATGCCGGACATGACAGCCAGTAGCTTTCATGTGCACACGCATAAAGCACGAAATCCACGAGCTTCTCAGGACAGACATGTGTGGCACAGCTGGTACGTACTCGTCTCGAGTGATGTGATGACCGCATTGTCGTAAACAGAATCCAGCATAGTAATAGTATAAATTTGTTTTGCCGGTGCTTTTGCACGGCCCATGTCCCGGGTACCAGCAGATGTCGGACCCTGGCAGGAGGAGGGGTGGGGGGGGAGACATTTCCCAAATTTTCATGCTGCAGTCCATAGAATGCCCGAATTGTTTTGGCACGCGAGGTGGTGGACCATGTTTGCATCCGAATCAAGGCAGTTCTCAGCAAGCAAGATGCCGAAGTGCTGTCTGCGGGAACAGATGAAGAGATCGATGAGATCTACGCTCAGACTCATTCTCTCTTAGGTGACCTCTATGCCAAGTGCAGAGAGGAAGAGAAGGTGTCGCTGAAGCAGCTGCATGCTGCAGTTGAGAAAGCCCGGAAGGATTCGGATGTAGTGTTGCCCATGCCTCCAATGCCAGTGCTCGTGGAGCCTTCGGCCGAGACTTCAACTCCGGACCAACCTCTTGATGAAAACTGTGGCGACGACGACCTCAGAACTCCAGCATTCACATGGCTTTTCTGGCCGGTGAGCCACGAGGCTGTCTGGTCCATTCTGAAGGCTCGCCGAGCGGTTTGTATTTCTCTCGTAGCTCCTGACAGGGATATGATATTGTTTGTATCAAGTGACAGTATAAAGATGAGCCTGCAGCCTGCACAGGTGGACGACGAGAGCCGGATTCAAGGCTACGCTAGCTTGTTCTGTCTCTGTGAAGTCTGGGTCTTCAAAACTCCCTTTTCCGGATGGTATGCAAAGTCATTTGTCGCAGTGGCCAAACCCATTTTGGAAGCTTGGTACCTGGACACGAAGCACGTGCCTAGACGAAATTAATCCGTGGGTTGCAATGCAGAGAATTGTATTCATATCGCCCACAATCGCCCAGGTCACGAGGAGAGCCGGTTACAAAGGACAAGTGGAAACATCGAACTTGAACTTGCCGGTAGACATTTGCACGCTGCCAGGGCTTTTGTGCTGCCTGGCCTGCTTTTTGCAGAACAGAGGTCTGCCAAGGGCTGCCTTAGACCAGGTCTGGCATATCGTCGAGAAGCTGGACTCGCAGGGAAGTTTCACAGGGACTGTCCGGCTGTTGCCGGATGTGGAGGATTGCCGCCTCCGCTTCGAGGCCAACGAGGCTTCTCTAGAGGCCTGGCACCAGGCACTAGAAATCGCAGGACTTCGTGGCTGTGTCGCTGCAACGGCCAAGCATCCGAGCAGCAGCTTTACAGCTACACACCGCTTTCCGGAGAGTGTTGCAACGGTAGAGTCATCATTAAAATCATGCCGCCCAGGTATTTTCCCAACGATCGATGCAAACTGACTTTGGGCAAGATTGTTTTCCTCCTCTTGACCAATCGTCAGAGACCTCATTTCCGAGAGGATGGGGTGGCTACTCAGGTGACACGTCGCCTGATCCACACCTTTTGCCAACATACCGAGCTACGACTGGAGAGGGATGAAGCACCGCTGCTTGAGCGATGCCCGGAACCAACGAAATGTCATGCCTATCATCCTTTGCATAAGGACAGCAGGTTGAAAGGACACCCAGCTCTCCGGGATCGAGTCATTTCGAGGTTTGGCTCTCGCAACGCAGGTTTCTGCAGTGCCAAGGACGAAATGCAGCTTCACGACTTGGGCTTGGTGGGCAAAGACTCGAAGATAGGGTCACGGGTTGCTGGTGAATTTGTGATTCGCTACCTGGCGAAGTCCAGTTTCCAAGCCAGAAAGAAGTTGAATCGACCGGATTCGTTGAACATCGTGAATTTCTGCTTCGACGGCAGCCGTGTGTGCAAACAGCAAGCCCCGCGCCCGGAAAAGATGTGCTTGTGTACGTTGTGAACCCTTCCGCAAATCTATGCTGAGGTTCTCAGCTTCCAGTTTGATATTGGGGGCACAGAGGCGTCCTTCATACAGGTGATGCCGGATTCGCATCCTTCTCGAGAGGGCACCACGACACTCGCTGCCCTGGAGTTCGCACTGGAGGATGGGTTGCCGAAAGATGTGCGATCCATGAAGAATACGGCGAAGCACTTGGTGACGTACCGCCAGAGCACCAAGCAACTCATTCACACCGTGAGGAATGCTGTATCTTTGCTCTACCCCGACTTCAGTTTTGCACAATGTGTGCCGACCACTCCTTTGCGACCCGCGGGTGACAAACTTCGCTACAAGATGAGTGACGCCGAGAAGAGATTGCTGCAGATTCCGCTCAACGAGAAGCGCCATTTCCTTTTCGATAAGAAGACTGGCGACACAACTGTGGATTACATGCTGCATGGAGAGAAGCTCCTTCGATTGATTATCAGCGGCGACGAGGGGACAGAAAACTACCTGGCATGGCAATATGTTTGCCTGTCCGGCCAGGCTTGGGTGCTTTTTTGGCCCGATGTTTTTCATCGGTGCCACCGACGGCAGTCGGCGGCAATTTCAGCTCATGCAGAAGCAGCCAGCTTGCTGCAGCGGCTCACCAAGATGTTTCGCTCCTCGAGGGCGCCCTACAACACTTCCAAATTTGGGAAAGAGCGGTTGGAGGCGAGAACACGGCTCCTCAAGTCCCTCGAAAGCTCTGAGGAGTCAGTCTTGATCCAGACCTTCTTGGATGGCATCGCTCGGGATGCCGGTGTGCCCCTCGCTTCCATGACATGCAGGCGAGCGGTGGAGCTGCTGAAGGAGCATGGAGGTTGGGTGGAGTATCAGTTTTGTTCTGCAGCAGTGGCCTTGTGTAGATTTGCTGTTCCTATCCAGGCGACATGCACTGGAGCAAGGATGATTGCCAACCAGGTCGCTGGTTCTCCTGGTGGGACCACGCTCAGAAGACGGATCGCTACTAGGCAGCCACATGGAGGACATCCAAGCATGGAGACACGTGTGAGGTTCTGTGTTTCAATTGAGGCACGTGGACCCTCAGACTGCTTGAAGCGATGTTTGGCTACTGGGAGATCGGAGTGAATCCTTGGCTCTTGACCAAAGCCCCGAATGCGGATGACGATTCCGAAGCGGTGCTCTCGGCCGGCATCAAGGCTCTCACATTTGAGGCCGGGGTTTTGCTGCACCAAAATGGTGCAGTTCATGTGTTGCTCCGCGATAGGTACTGTCCGATACGACGAACCAGGATCGGATGAGGTCCCTGCTCATGGTTTACGCACCAGCGCGGATGTGGATCGGCAAGGTGGAGCCTTGCCTCATCTCGAATTGTCAGGTTTTGAAGAAGAATCGACGATTGCCGAATTGTCTGTTTCTGATGGAAAACCCACAATTTCGCCTAGGGGCCTCCCAAGGACCCCCAGACCCCCCCATGGTACCGGGCGGCCCACCCCACCCCACCCCACCCCAGGCTAGGCTTCTTAGTGGTGTCCTGTCACTTCCGTTTTTGCTAAGAACAAAAAAGTCCAGAACGACGCGGATGCATCGATCCGGGAAGCTATCTCGCTGGCATCTGGACAGACTCTGCAGCACCTACTCAGGCAAGACACGTAGGAAAGTCGACCCTAAACCCTAAGCCCGAAATTATATGTGATTTCTGAGTTGGCTCCCTAAACCTTAAACTTTGGTCCTAAACCATAAACCCTAAACCCCAGACCTTAACAAACTCCACCCAGGGATACGATCACGAATGCATCATCTTTGGCAAGTTTGGAGAAGATCGGTGCGGCCCATGCAGAGCAGGACGCCACGGCTCAAGAAACTCTTGATTTCCATCTTGAGTGCTTGGTCCGATGGCTGGGAGCTTTGTATGAATTGCCGGACTACCACAAGTCCTTTCCATGGCGAGCTATCATGGCCTTGGATGACGGTAAGTGGCCGTCGGTGTTGAAGGAGCTTGAACGCGAGTGGCCATTTCTTTTGAAGGTGGACCAACTCCCCGAGAAGGGCCAGACGCACGAGCTTCTGGCCTTCACGCGAATGCAGCCCTTCAGAGAGCTCTTCATTCAAGCTGAGCCCCAGAGTTGCAAATTATTCAATGAGTTAAACTTCAAGTGTTTTTGTAGCCTTATCTGCTTAGGTCCATTAACTTCGACCAGGATCATGACAGTGCCATGCGAGTTCGAATGACTGCAGCATCGGTGGCTGGAGTCCGCAACCTCGACGACCCGAGGACTTCCTTGCTGAATTCGCTCGCAAACGAGCTTTATTTCAATGACGCCAGAGACTGCCAGCGACGACACAGGAAGTCTGAGACATCGAAGGCCGTCAACCTGTGTGCATTGGCTGCACGCACGGGCTGGGTTCGAAGTCCTTTGGAGCACGTTAAAGTCGATCACCGGGACTGGTGCGGGATGGACGAGCAAGTGCGACACCTGAAGACAAGCATTTTGTCAAGCACTCGCGATCGAGATCGCGACATTGGCATTCCAATGCACAACCTGCTCCATCAGAAAAGACTTGAAGTGCTCACAAAGCCACACGTCTTTGTTGCGAGATTGCGGCTTTACCAATGCTTGAAGGAGACGTACTTGCAGGACGGGACAGGCTTGATGGACATCCAAGCAACCGTGGATGCAGCATGGCCCTGCAACATCTTGCTTCCTGTGACTCTGTGGAAGCCCAAGGAGGAAACCCCCGAAGATGTGAGGATGGTGCTACAGGCAGGTCCTTGGACAACCCGGTTCATGCAGACGCGAAGCATTCATGGAGCTGCACAGGTTGCAACCTATGTGCTGCAAAGCAATCCGTGCCAGATCCGAGAGACACTCGAGTTTGGCATGAACAGTGGCATGCTGTCTGAGGCACAGGCAGTGGTCAGTCAAGCAAGTGGACTTGCCTTTCAAGCTCGAAAATGGATGACGCCCGCGACCTTCCTGTGCGAATGCTCCATCACAAAGGTGAAGGCTGGCATGCTTGTGCAGTACTGCAAAAGCATAGGCCTGAATCATGCAGGCAATCACCGAACGCGGGTGAAAACGGTCTTGGAGCACCATGGCCACAATGCAGAGTACATCGAAGAAGTGTTGGCCACAATCCCTGTTCGCCATCGACAGCCGAAAAAAAAGGAGGCCTGGACGCTTGCATATTTTAATCCCCAATCCTCCTCCGAATATTTCCTGTTAACATAAGTCGATTGAGTAATAGAGGGACTCCTGTCAGGACGAGCCGGACCAGGCCCGTGAGGACGAACCTGAGACAGATGAAGATGAGGAAGCTGCCCGCGAGCTTCTCGAGAGCATGAATTACAACGTCGAGGATGACGACGAGGAGCAGCCACCAGCTCCTGAGCCCAAGAATGAGCAGAGTCCCAACCCTGCGGCAGCTGCGACTTCAGCTGCTGATGAGATTGGAGAAGGGCATGCCGTTCCTGAAGAGAGACAGGCCACATTCTCACAACAACGAAAACATGTGAATCACCCTTCCCTTCTAGCTTGGGGCTCCTTTGCTTAGTTTTTGGGATGTTGCTCAGCTTTTGGTCACAGAAAGAATGCAGGTTTACTCCTAAATGTAGTTCTCGAAGGTCAAAGACATAGCAGAGTCCAGATTTGGAGTAGGTACTTTAGGCAATAGGGTGTAGGGTTGGTTGTGTAGAGGGTTTGGGATTCTGCACGGTTCAGGAGCGAGCTTCGTCCAGCTCCGCACGACGTGTACTTCCGGCTCACGAGTACGAGGTTCCGCAAGCACGGTTGGCGCCGGGGACAAGAGGCTTCGTAAATCGACCTGATGGCGGCGCACCAAATTTGCAGATCAAGTTGCTCAGCAGCCAAGATGTGTACAAAGGCAAGCGATCCCGGGCCTGGAGCTTCGTTCCAAGAGGTGGCCAAGCCATGCCAAGGGGTGTTACGAGATCCTGGGATGAGGCATGCCGTTGTGCTACAACTTAGTCATGGGAGTTTTTTCGTGCTCAGACAGCTGAGAGACAGGAAAGTCTGAAACAGCAGTTCGGCGAAGCGGTAGATTTGCCGACCGAGGGTGGCGAACCCTCTGAGCCTGCTGTCCCGAAGAGGGCTGCAGCCGAAGGCTCTGGTGCTCCGGGCAAGCGGAGGCGAAAGTAGGAGATGCTGAGGGGTCGCATAGTGAGACGGAACCTTTAGCCCGAATCCTTAACTTTCAATACTTATCCTTCAACTTTGGCCGATGGGCTCACTGAGCGAGAAAGGCATCTCGAATTGCGGGTGACCCTGCAAGACGCTTGACTGAACCGGGGAGTGCAAAAAGACCGATGAACACTTTCTATGTCCGAAGCCCCAACCTACACGAACCACAAAACCCTGACACTCCCAAACCCTTGCTTCGCCTCTTGCAATATGTGAAATCGTATCGAAAAAAGCATGAACCCACGTTAGCTATGGAACTTGGGCCGTGGCGGATTAGAAGACGGCTCTCACTCGACACCAGATCGATTGTCTCCCATCGAGCGGCGCAGGAAGATCCGCAGTCTCTGAGCCGTGGGACTTTAGTCAGTCAACATGAGCAAGGCTAACATCATTCACAGCAGGCTCGTTAGAACCCGCTGTCCTTTGTCAGCGAGTCACTCGGCGGACACTGTCAGTCCCAGCTCAAGCATTGAAATTTGACATTCGGAAAAAGCCTAAGTCTACAAGATGACTCAGATCAAGTCGTCCTGTGCTGCAACAGCTTCTGGTCCTGCCGCAGGTCCTGGAGCTGGCGCTGCTGCCGCTGCCGGTGGCACTGCTGCTTGGCCGTCCTGGTCCTGCTGGAGGAGCAACAGCAGGGGCAGCGTCGTCGATCACCACAGGTCCTGGACGGGTTTAGGTTCAGACTTTAGGGGTTTAGGGTTTAAGGTGTAGGGTTCGGCTTAGGGTTTGGAGTAAGATTCGGCAAACAGAGGCCCCGAACATGCTCCATTTCAAGCGGCCTGAGCCTGTTGAACCATCATGACTGTTGTCTTTCACAACACGCTTCACTTCTTCAAAAATCTTGGCCTGCCGTTCATGAAAGCTGAGGCTGCCCAGTGCCAGCTGCAGCTCCTCAGCTGTCCCTCGCCAAGTTTCCAGACAAGCATTCCGGCAACAAGATGCTGCGACCTTGGCTCCGGATGAAGGCCCTGCCTGCCCTGGCTCATCGGGATCAGAATTGACGGATGGCGGCAGAGAAAGTGACGCAGCTTCTGAAGCTGCCTGTGAACGTTCATCGCACTCATCAACCGAAGGCGGGATATTAAATGTGGCTTGGCTGAATCAACAACTCGATTCGGAAACAATGAGTACCGACCCAGAAGCAAACTGGGCCACGGGCATCCCTTGCAACACTGGGTCTGTGTGATGCATGTTGAAAGCCTCATTAGGACCAGCTCAGGCCCTCCTCAAAGGTCCCAGCAGGATCCTAGACTGGTCGCCGGGAATTGGCGGCTGTGTCAGAGCTTGGCCTAGGGGTTTAAAGTTGAAAACTAGGCCCTGCAAGCCTCAGGTCAAGGCTTAGGGGTTTAAAGGGTAGGAACCTTAAAAATACTGAGGGGAGGACCTCACTCAAGTCAGCGTCATGATTTGATTTGATTTGTTTCCTATATGCTGAAAACTTGTGTTGTGAGTCTGAATCTATCGTGGACTTAAATATGTGAAAAAAAGGTAATAATGAAAGTCATGGTAGCAAGAAAATTTTCTGCCCGCCCTGCCCCCCCGAGACCCAGAAAAGCAAGAAGTAAACACTTTAAAAATACAACAACACATTTAGGGAAAAACATTTTTGGCAATTTCGTGTGCCACGTGTGCCCTTGCTTGATTGCCCTCGCCGCCGTCGCGGCCTCAGGCGCGGACCCCGCACTCGCAATCGCTCCGTTCGGCCCTGCGCTCATCGGTTTGCGCGGGAGCCGCCCGCCGCCCCGTTCGCAGCGCGTGGCGCCGTATACCCGCGTTGGCGAGGCGGTTATAACCCTGGGCGCCGCAATTCACAGGGCTGCCCCCACGAATGACAATATGGCCTCGTCGCGCAGCGCGACCGCGCAATGATTGCTGTTCTCTTCGGGCCCACAAGCCGCCGCGCGGATATGGCCACACCCACGGACTGCCCACGGACAGGTCCACCTCGCGGCCGCCAGAGCTCATGCAAATCGTTCTTCGCAGTCGCCTCCGTTTGCCTCTGCCTCTGCGGCCCCGGCATCTGCGGCCAAAATAGGAATGGACACCGTTTCTAGACCCCTGGGGCGACCACGCCCTCGCCTGCATGCGCAGTGGCTTCTTGGCACGCCGTACGACGCTGCTCGAGCAAGCCTGGCTCGCAGGATGCTGTGGGGCGGTGGGAGCGGTGGGACACGTTGTCCCCCAACAGTGGCTGTCGCACACGTCGTCGCCAGACCGCCGACGCCTCGACCTCGTGGTGCCTCGCCCTTTGTGGTGATGCCACGCTGGTGAGCCCTATCACCGGAGCGAGCACCGATCACCTTCACCCCAGGCCACACACGTCGCAGTCGCACGACCGGCTTGCGGCGGCCATGGCAAAAGCTGCTGTTGCGGCTGGAAGCGGGAGAGCAGATGGCTTCGGGTGGCGCGGGCTGAAAACTGTGCAAGCCGAACACCATGCACAACAAGAAGAGGCACATGCACTCACTCGATCCCTTCCTGGTTGGGTTCAACCCTTCGTGCGCCGCTGGCGAGGCGTGGTTCACTATACTGTGGGCGGTTGCGGCGTCGGGGGTGCGACGGCATCATGGCGACGCTCGCTGCGGAGAATGTCGCCAGTCTTATAAGGTTTCTGCCAAAGCTGCCGTGTCAACCGGCGCGCAGCTCGACGTGTCCTCCCAGGCAAGGCCCCAAGGCCACACAGGGCAGTACCGCCACGGCTGTATTCGCGCGCGCATCGGTCGGCTGGAGTGGAGCCCGCAGCCCGCGCGACTGGCGCCCGCGCCCGTGGCGCTAGCTGCAGCAAAGCAAGCATCCGGGTGCCTATCTAAGGCCGGGGCAGCCCCCAGCAGCAGGCCCAAAACTAGCCAGCCCCACGCGAGCATACGCGAGCGACAAAGGAGCGAAGCCGGCTGGGTCCATGCCCGAGCAGACATGAGCAGACCATCGCTGCATGGGCTGCAGCTTGTCGGCAAGTTCCGGCCAACCAGCTGCAGCGTGCGATCCGTGCGACGCGACTGACACCCTCCACGTAACCACGTCGGCGAGCAGGGAAGTCATGCCATGCGCGAAAGGAGGCTGGGAGTCAAACTTTGGCAGGGGGCTCAGCTTGCAGTCGACACCACCTGCGTCAGCCCAGTCACTCGCTCTGGCGAGCCGCGGCATGCCGCGGCCAGGAGCCGATAATTAGTGAGCCTGGCCTCGCCCTACAAATTCCCACGACGCGCAAGAAACGCGACACGTACCTCGAGCTTGCGCGCTCGCCGCGCTGCCAAATTGGGTGTTCGCTGTCGAAGTTGGTGGCCGTTGTGTCCCCGAGCCAACAACCTTCCTCAGGCTCCTCGCGCGGGCGCGAGCTGGGCGTGCGCCGGCTGCCGTTCGGTCGGCTCTGTGGCTCTGTGTGCGGCTTATGTCTCTTTCTGGAGCAGCATCATCGCCGTGGCAGCGCAAAGGGCCTTCGCCGGCTCCCTGCTAGAGCTCCCATATAGCTCCCTCTCGACCGGCGAGCCGGCTGCGCATGAGGTCCAGCAGGCCGAACGCTAGCTGCACGCCCCTGCCCCCAGCCGGCTCCCGCTGCGGACTTAGGCTGCCGCCACCACGTAGACGGCAGGTGCACTGGGATCGCGCTTGTACTGGTCGCAGAAAGTGTGCGTCATGAAAAAAGGGGATACTATACTTTTTGGCTATTGTACTGTTTTATTTCGCGAACTCCAATATGACATTTGGGGATATGGAGCACGGCCTCGACAACGGCGCTGGCAGCGCCCAATAGCACGGGGAGCATCAACCGCCTCGGAATGCTTCAGCATAAAGAGCATAAAGATGCAATAAGATGCATGAAGATATATGAAGATAATGAGGATTCGGCGCTTGGAGCGCATGGCACGCCTGCTGACGTGCTGGTTCGCTCGGCATTGCCGATAGCCATGCACCAGCGTGTGCCCTGCCTGCGAGCGCAGCACGCGGTCGCGATAGTGAAATATAGTGAAGGTTTCGAGGCCGCGTCGCGTGAAACTGCCAGCCGTGAGGCCATTCGCCCGGGCCTGCATCGCAGGCTTGTTGCGGCCGGCGCCTTCGTAGGCAGCGCGCCAGCCGGGGCACGCTTCCCAGCTTTCTGCTTGCAAGAGGTTTCTTGCTGATGCTGTTTCGTGTAAGCAGGGAATCATGCCTTCCGCGCCTTGCTCCAGAGCCACCAAGCAACGATCAGCTGCGCGGGGCAGGCGAGACCGGATGACGGGAAGCGCGTTCATCCATGCTGCCCAGTACTGTACGCCGCTGGGGCCGTCCGCTCCGTGGACTGCAAACCGAGTCCACCGTAAACCGCTGGCAGCGACGCGAGCGGCCAGGCCTGCTGCGCTTCGGCCGGTGGCACGCCCCCCAAACACTCTTGAAGTGTCCCAAACAGCCTGGTCGTGTGCCTGCGCATACGACCCTGATTCGGAAGGTGGTAGTGTTCGCAATGCGTGGTTGGCTCGGGGCGACGCGCAGAAAAGCAGCAATCGGCGCCCCGCTCTTCCTGAAGCCGTGCGTCGGCCCAGGCACCCAACCGGTGTGCCCAGCACCACGATCCCGCGTTGGGCCGACGGCTTGTCGCTGCGCCAGACATCGTCACCCAGCTCAGCGATGCCGGGCGGCGGCGGGCTTGCTTTGGCGGCCATCACCCGTGTCTTGCCGAGGTTGGACCCGATGCCGCTGTGGTCAGCCACGGCGCGGGTGGCAGCATCGAGGGCAGCGCGTGGGGTTTGGGACTGTGACGATGTACAAATCGTCCAGGAATGCCATCAACGTGTCTCCTGCGTGCAGAT